TGCTTACCCTGGCAAGCCGCGTGCCGAACGTTGCCGAACCCTGACATATACAGTAGAACCCTGTGCTGCCATCACACACACAGGACTATGGAAAATTGATGTTTCAGCCCCGGGTGGCAGGGGCTCAGCTGACAGCCCCATGTGGTGGGGCTCCCGCTGTCAGATTTCATTTTTTAATCATGGAAAAACACAGATTTTTATGTTTTTTTATCAGAGAATTTGGGGATTTTTATCATGGAAAACTAGGATCCCTGCTCATAATACAGGAAAAAAGGGGACATTAAAAGAAATTGAAATGCAACAAATTTAAAACTGATCATAGGAAATAATTTTTTACACAAAATATACTTCACCTTTGGAACTTACTGTCAGTGGGTGACACTGAGGCCAAGAACTTAAAGTGAACATCCACAGTTCCATTAGACAGCTGTCATGGTTCAGGGCTAGCTGCATCTCTGCCCCCTTTCTGGTCTATGAGTGCACGCTTCAGTCTCAGGCCTCAAGGCTTTACCTCTACTGGGGAGGAATTAAAAAATTCTCTTTCTCTTAGGGCCCTGGGCTCAAGTATCCTGCATATCAACTCTGCTGACCCAGCAGGTCTGACTGGATTCAGCATGTGCAGTTCTTTCCTTCAGGAGCATGTGACCTGTGGTGTCTATCGTGACGAGATGCATGTTTTTCTTACCTAAAGATTTGTAATAATTATTTGTATTACAGTAGTGTGTAGAATCCCTAGTCCTGGATCAGGACCCCATTGTCCTAGACGTGGTACCAACACCACCCAGAAAGACAGCGTCTGTCCAAAGAGCTTACTATCTAAGACAACAGACAATAGGTGGATATAGACAGATAAGGGAGTACAAAGAAACAATGAGATAATATTGGTCAGCATGATAGACAATGGCCTCGGCATACCAGCAACTTAACCATAATCAAGTTTTTTGTAGGCATCATGGAAAGGGAAATTTTGAGGAGGTTTTGAAAGAGGATAATCAGTTACCATCCTGTGAGGGTGACGAGGCAAGTCTAACTTCTTCAGACATCCCCTGCTCCCCAGCAGCATCCTGTGTCAGTCTGGTCCACCCAAAAAACTCCCTCCAAGAGCACCCCCCCCCTTTTGAAAGAAAATCCCCTTTTACATGGCTAGAGTCCTTCTGATCTTTTGGTTCTCAGGCCTTTTCTAATCCTGGCATTCTCTCTCAAGTGTTTGCTGAAAAATGGCTTATCGTGAGCTATTCTTCTCCCTTTCCTGCTTGTTTTCTTTACAGTCCCCCATTAAACTAAACCAATATATTCATTCCGTAAACATCCCAATAAACAGGTCAACATACAGTATTCATACATTATTACAGGGCAGCTCCACTTTCATCACAACAGAATTTTACAAAACATAGACGGAATATATCCTCTGATTTCAGGCATAAAATAATCATTAACAGACAGGGGTAAGGAAAAAACTTCTCTATGGGCAGGTTATTCCACAATTGTCCATTGGGAGGTTTCTTGAATCTTCCCCTGAGCCCTCAGGTACTGGCCATTGTCAGAGACAGGATGCTGGACAGGATGGACCATTGGTCTGATCTAGCAATGCAGATGTTTCTGTTTACTCTTTCAATGTGTGTTTGAAGAGAGGTGGTTGAAGAACTGTGTGTCCTAGTGGTGGGTCTTTGTTGTCCAAGATGAATTCACTGTGTCTTGAGATGAATTGACAGAGCTGTGCGAGTACCTCAAAACTAGACACACATGGAATTCTGCAAATCAAGAGTTAGATTATTTTGGCAGAGCAGTGGGTGGGCCTCAGGTCAAGAACACCAAGGAGTGCTGTAAATCAAGAATGGCAGAAACTTACCTAGTGTCTGCCAATACCATGCTGTTCTCTTGCCAGTGGTATCAGTTCCTAACTCTGATAAGAACACAATTACAGTCAAAACAGTAATTTTATTGACCTTCCAGCTCTGATATGGAATGTTTGGGCCATGATACTACAATTTTAAAATTATGGGAGATAAAAAATGCTATTAAAATAAAAAACAAAATAACTAAATGTATAGGCCTGAAACCCAACCAAGTCTGGAAATATCAGAGACATTCTTAGTATCCCTCTGACCAGCTCAAACAGATCTGGGAATGCACAAGCTGTTCAGCTGGACTGAGGCCCAGGGCCACTGTCCATTCATCCTGGATACAGGTTGAGCAAACAGGCTCTTTTCTTAGACAATGCCCTTAAACTCAGCTGGATTATTAAAAGTTATGCATCCTCCACACCCTCTCTTCCACTTCTTTCTCACTGCCCCTTTCTCTCTTCTCTCTTACCTTCCCCACACCTCTTATAGTAAACAACCTTCACTCTCACCACCTTCCTTAAACAAACTGTTGTTTCCTTTTGATACAGTGGCCATCTGGAACATGGCAAATAAGGGCCATATCATTAGGAAATAATGGCTTACTCCATGGCAAAGATTCTATCGCCTTGTTTAGATTAGGAAATTTTTGCTAAGATTTCCTATGTTGTTATCACTGGTTCAGCTCCACAGGTGATAGCAATGGTGGGAGAACTAGTATAGATAAGGCACTGGCAGCTGCCCACATTCTAAACATCATGCTGTGTAAAACCTGCTCTAAGCAGGGCAGTGGAATTAATTGCATTTGTCACCTGGAACCTTGTCTGCACTAGCAACCCTGCAAGTGCTATGGGTAGGGGTGCTGTACTAGTGTTTGCAATGGTGAGAAAATTTTGCCAAATAAAAAACCAGTGAAGAGACAGCCAGAGAGGAAAAAGACAAGGGGTGGTGCAAATCTGAATTAAACCTGAACTGCAATAAAACCTACCTGGAGATGCTGCCATTCATCAGTTCAAGACTGAGCTTCTGGTGAACTTTTGTTTCTCAAAAAGAAGAGGAGTACTTGTGGCACCTTAGCGACTAACAAATTTATTAGAGCATAAGCTTTCATGTAGTCCATGAAAGCTTATGCTCTAATAAATTTGTTAGTCTCTAAGGTGCCACAAGTACTCCTGTTCTTTTTGCGGATACAGACTAACACGGCTGCTACTCTGAAACCTTTTGTTTCTCACTCTTTCACTCTGGCCCTGCAACATCACGATATAATTATTAGAGATTGTACACGCAGGGGAGCTACTGCAGTATTTTTAAAAAATGAATGCATATTTCCTAGGTCAGGCTTCTCCACATCCATTCCTGGCTGGTCTCAGTGGTAAGATTACAAGCAATCAACAAGAACCGAATATATAATTTACAGCGGAAGGGGTTTATTCAGGCTTACAGAGTGTAACCATTTGGGGGAGTCTGTACAAACTTATGAATTCTGGTTGATATTATAAAGTTGTTATGAAATGTCTGTAAGATGAAAGGCCTTTCTGTGTATCCTCCTCTTCTGACAAGCTTTAAGCATGTATCACCCATTGTTAAAAACGACCAGCAGCTGAACAGACCTTACCTGGGGAGAACAAAAGAGTAACTGCATGCTAGGGGAAACCAGTTCTCTCCACCTTTTCTGGGGGTTGAGAGAGTAGGAAGTTAGCAAGAAGGACAAAGTAAAGTGAAGAAATGACAAAAGCAAAAGGTTATAAAAGTGCTCACAGGGGGGAAAACTCAGAGAAACACACAGGAAGTTTGGGCGGGGAAGGGGAAGGGAATGGACTAGCCATGGTCAGAGGAAGCGTGCTTGGGGAGAAGACTGTGTGTCAGAACCTTTGCTAGGCACTGCAAAGGAAGGATCCTGGATAGCCCCAGATGACTCTGACCCCAACCCAAAGAATCCTCTGGAGTGGTGAAAAAAATGATGCAGGGAACTGGATATAGGGTTTAT